TTTCAGCAGAACTGCATGCTGGGAGAAAAGGGTAGTGCACTTTGGGAAATTAGTGTAGCTTAAGCTTTAGGTAGAGTGGCGTATGGGAATCAGAGACCACAGTGAGAGACTTTCCTTCCCATGTTGGAATATTTAACATGAATTTGTGCCTTAATGTTGACTATGGAGAATCCTGTCAAAACAGTATAATACTCCATACTTTTAAATACCAGCTGTTTTCAACTACAAAACAAAATGAACCAGACAATAAAGCTCATCCTAGAAAATGGAAGTGACATAAATACTGCTTCCATGACAAAAAGAAAAGGGAGCACCACATTGACATGTACTGAACCCAATCTAGACCAGATTCTGGGTGGATTCCTAAAGCTGACAGAACGTTAGTACACAGTGGCTTCCCCAGGCTTCTCTTTCACAAGACAACTATCATCATGAGTGAAGATGTGTTGGCCATTAGCCATCATTGGCACTGAGCTGCAATGCAAGTTCATTGAGAAACTACCAAAGAGATGCCATCCACAGGCAGGTCTTGGAGCAGAAGATTCACCTGCCATTCCCAGCACAGGCTGGGCACCCACAGCCCTGCACCCCGGCCTGGGGATCGCTCCTGCTCCAGCATGTTTTTGCTTTGAAAACTTGCATCTAATTGAATTATGCATTTCATAGTCTGGAATGGTTTTTTCAATGGTTTTCACTTAAAACTTGGCAAATGTGGGGAAAAATATGTTCTATAGGCTTTAAATTAAATGCTTTATACTTAAAGAGCTTTTAAGTAATACTCATTAAAAAAAAAAACAGTAATTAAGAACCTTTTTAGGTAGCTTGAATTTCCAAAACTACTGTATGGTTATGTCACAGGATTAGAATTAACAGTTACCGTAACTGGATTTAGCAATCATGTAATGAGCCTTCATGGGGGTCATTTTCTAAGTTCTGGAGAATGTGGTTTCCATGTTGTTTCCTGTTGTCTTCTTAGCAAATTAATGGTAAGAATTTTGCTCCTAAAGTATGTGATTTGATTGGACATACTCAATTTTTCATTACAGGTCTCATTTTAATTCATAACTAAGTTATTGAATAATAAAAATTCCTCCAGTGGGATAGTCAGTTTTGTTCTTTATTCATAATCTTTTTAATTCAACAATATATGATTTTTGTCTACTAACTTATTAAAATTAAATGGGATTTCTAGACATAAAGTGCGCATATATTTGCATAGCTAAATTGGCTCTTAGCAGAATATTACCATGGACATAAATAATGGTAAGTAAAGTCAATTGATTAATTTTTTTGAGTTTTTAAATTCCTAAAAATAAATAGTGACTGTTATTCAAACCTAAGGAGTAGCATGTAAATTAGAGAATACTAAAATATTAAACAGTCAAAATGGTCCTTTAGTAAATGTAGACCCAGAATGCACACAGTTGGAATAAAATTAAAACAGGACTACTGTGTGTGTTTGTGTTATATATGTGCATATTCATAATACGTGTTCTTAGCGTAGTAACATGATGTATTTGTGAATTTTAAACTTCTTTATAATAAGACTCGCAATTACAGAATTTACCAAGTATTAACCAAGATGAAACCAACCGGGTAGCCTTGACACCATGTTCCTGCCAGCTTAGCAATGTGTGGCTGGCAGGAAGGTTCCCCGAATGAACAGGGACCCTCGGGGCCACTGAGCGAAGCTGTAGCCATGCCCTGCGTCTCCGAGCAGCCCCTTTTGGTGTGAGCCCCGCTGGAGGTCACTGAGACTCAGTGCCCCAGAGGAACATGTTGATCTGGCAAAGAACGATTTGGTCAGTGCTAAGAAATGGGTCATTCCAGGTCCTCTGAGATAACCTGGGTACTTTTCTTGACCATTATCCAAGGCTCCCTATCCAAGGCTCCTCCTGGGCTTTGTCTAAGTGGAAAAGAGGTTTTTTTCAGGGTCCACACAGGGCTTCCAGGACACAACAGGACCCTGGGTAAGCGGGAGATGGAAACGTCATCCCTTATGGTCATAAGCGAGTTTGTGGGACCCTAACACTTTGAAGCCATGTGATCATATCGCCATCATATTTTAAATCAGACCTGCCTATTTCCGCCTCTCAGTTTGCCTGTCTGAACATTTCTGTTGTCTTTTTTTCTAAAAGTCTTTCTAAGCACATTGGTTTAATACAAACAGTTACATCTCCTAGGCACCCACAATGGGTTAGACAGTGTAAGATATATATATAAAATGCATACTTTATTCCATATGTTTTATTATACATATTAAATTTTATGTACAGCAGGCCTTCAATAACGAGGAGACTGTATATATTTATTTTCATTTGTCATCTATTATACTATATATTTTACACTTCTATAAAATATTAATTTATATAATGAAATATGTTCTAGTAATTGTATGTATATAACCTCTTGATTATAAGGCTTTGAAGAGGGAGCACCATTTTGCCTGTTTATCAGGTGTGAGCAGAGGGACTCAGACGGCCCTGCCTCTGATCCAGATTTGATGTTAAACGCAGCGCCCTCCACAACTGTCCATGAAGTGGGGCAGAAGAACTCCAGCATTTCAGAGCAAGCCTCCTCGGATAGGCTGATTTTGTAATTCCTTGCCTCTATCTGTGTTATAATACATTGAAACCAAAGCTAGCATTTCAAAAATTAGGACCAAGTATTTTAGTTACTTGGGACCAAGAACATAAAGTTCTAGGGAATGAAATTAACATAAGGACAGAGTTGTTTGATAAAGAAAAAGGAAAAGATTAGTCGTATTTCAAAATGTGTATCCCTTTCAGAAAACATTGTTTTGTTTTTTGTTGTGTTTTGTTTTTAAGAAAGAAACTATAGGTCCTGTGCTTAACTATTTACATGGTAAAAATAGAGTTCGGTGGTTTGCGGTGGTAGCACTGGCAGCCGGTGGGACGCCTGATTTGAAAGGCGTGTGTTCACCGCCCATGCCCCTGCCTGGGCTGTGCGGAGGGTGCCCTGCAGACAGCTGCACCCTGAGCGGGACCTTGACTGGTACACGGTGTGGGTTTGTCTTCTTTGAAAGGCCATGGAGAGCCCTGGCTGGGGGATGCGGTAACCCTGGGGCACCACAGTAAAGAGCTGTGCTGAGATGAAGACAGGTCTGGGTTCAAATCCTGCCTCCACACATCACTGGAATAATTGAATAATTAGCTTTGTGCTTTAAACCTGCGCTTCCCTGTCAGTGTTTGGGCATAGGAGATTCCAAGTAAATAACTCCTAGGCTGGTGGATATGATGGTTCCATCGTGCCTGTCACACGGCTGGCACCTGGTCAACCTGAAGAGTGCTCACGAGTATGTGTGCGATTGCACGCTTAGGGGTGGGTCTGACCCTGACAGGCGTGTTGGAGACACTCGGAAGTGAAATCTCTAGAGTTAGCACAATCTGTCACAGCACAGAAGCTGATCATTCACAACATTTGAAAGTCCAGTTAAGCATTTCTCCCATTCAATTGTACAAGCATGAACGGAAACAAGCGCACAGAGTACCTGCTAGGCAGGGCTTTCCGTCTTATTCTGTGCCGTAGAACTCGCATGTTAGAATCTCCCATCACAAGAATCATCTTCCTGCTACAAGTAATATTAGGTAGGTCATTTAGGTTCCTGTGCCCCAGTTTCCTATGTGAAACAGGCACGGTTACATTGCAGCCCCGCAGGCTGGGGGGCTCAAGATTCGGAGCTTGCAAAGGATCCAAAAAATGTCAGCTCATTCACGTTACACGTTAGGATGCCTGGTGTTGCTGCAGGTGGTGTGGCCTGGTCACCCACCTGAAAATCGTGGATACCAAGGACTGGGGTGGATACGTTCCTCAAAGATAGGGGGCAGTGTGGAAGCAAATAAAAGATTCTTGTACTGACAGGCCCTTTAATTCCCTGTCCACACACACATCCCCTGAACTGCCTCTCTTTCCCACTCACGTGTCAGGATACCCTGCTGAGTGGGACATGTGCACCTGGGGCCAGAAAGGTTGCTGGAGGCAGTTCTTTGGTTTTCATAACAAAAGAACCATCCATCCGCGCTAGGCGCTGAACAGTTGCACAGGCTGCACATACTCCTGGTTAAGCCCCCCAAGTAGACAGGCGCTCCTGGGCTGCAGAAACTCATTTGTAACTTAGCAGGGGTCTCTTCTAGGAGCAGCAGGTGAGGATTTTGTTTCTAACACATTTGAAGATGCTTAAGAAGCATTTGCAAGTACAGGCATGGCCTTAAGGAATTTAGTCCCCAGCAGAGATCCCTGAAGAATGACAGCTGAGATAGGGCTGTCCGAGAAAAGAAAGAGAAAGAATTTTCTTTCCCTGCCCTACAGTGGAGCTCTTCTGCAAACGTGACCCTTCAAGGAAGACAGAGAGAGTGTGAATGAGCAGTGAATTCTGGGCCTGAAGAGTGAGACAGACCCTTAAGAACAGAGTATTTACCCAAAGGCGGGAGACACCCTCGGGGTGAAATACGAAGACACAGCTCCTTGCGTGCGTCCCTGAGGTCATGTGATAAAAATGGTAAAATTCCCACTATATTCAGGGAAGAACTATTTAGCCTATTATTCATATTTTTAAATTTAATAACTTATTTTGATACGTATCCTGACAGCTATAAAATAGGATGTTTTCATTGCCTTTCATGCTACCCTTAATCTGTGCTGCTGGCACAAGTTCTAATGCTGTAATCAGCTGAGGAAGAGGAAGACCAGCTTAAGCAGACTTAGCTGGAGCTTGCTCTTGGAGAACTTGCTAACTTAGAGAATTAGCAGGAGAATGTGAGTTTTTCACATCTAGGTCGCCCTTAGGAGCCAGCCCTGTCTTTCTAATAAGGAACTGTGGATTCGTCATAAACAGCCTGTGGGAAGGAAGGCGGTGTTCTCAGCCCACTGCATAACAGAAAGACAGGCCAAGTCTTGGAAATCAGCAATTAGCACTTCACATCGCCAACTCAGCTGACCTGCCAAGAAGCCAGCATGCCCAATAGTGAAATAGCCTCATTTTCGGACGGGCTCCCGAGGGACCCCATGGATATTACACTGTAAAAATGGTCCCTCTTTAGAAGACACTTTTCTGCCAACAACATAATGTAAGTGCCAGCAGGTAATTCTTTATTACATGACCTATACATCTCTGGGAAGCACGTACCACAAAGGAGATGATTTATATGAGATGCATTTTATGTTTTCAGAATCCTCATGGTAAAATGTCTCAATGGGCATTAGGAGTCCTGGCAGCGCTGCCCCTGAAACAATAACACAATCGTTCCCTTCGTCCTTCTGAGATCCCTGTGGGTGGCCTGACACAGCTATTTCCTTCAGGGCAGCAGGGTTGCTTTTTCAGCCAAGTGACTGGCTAATTTAAAATACAAAAGAAGATCTAAGCTGAGAAGAAACCCAGCAAGACCATGGAAAATTAATGCTGAGACCCCTTCATAAACAGGGAAAAACATCGAAGTACTACGTTATTTCTCTAAGTAGGTTAAGAAGGTTTTGGGCATCTGTTTTGTGCTGATTTGAACACTGGGGCTATAAAAATGACGAAAATACAGAGATTGCCAACGTGCCACAAAATAGAGAGAGGGAATACGAGTGTGAGCAGATAGAGAACCAATTAAACAGAATATGTTAAGTCCTGTTGCATACATATGCCTAGAGAGAGAGGCTTGGGAACATGAAATGGTCAGGCATTGGGAAAGGCGTTTTGTAAGTGAATTTTGAGTCATATTTAAAGGGTGGATATGTTTAAAGGGAGACAGGTAAAGGCATTTAAAGCAATGTAGGCAATATGACAAAAATACTTTTATAACTATCTCTGTTAATAAGGAAAATGAAAATATGCACAGGATTCACAGAATGCTTGTAGTGTTGGTCTCCTAAATGATGCTTTGGTGTAACTTTACAGAAAAGTAGGTAAGGAGATGTTATTTTATATATGTATATATTTTAGGATGTAGGGTTAACCTCTGGATTAAATAATGATTTGCCTGAAGTTTTCTAATCGAAAGTAGAATTTAGTTGACCACTAAGATTTCTACTAAGTTTCAATTGCATGGCAAATTTAACATACTTTAATACATTCATTTCTCAGATGTTCTTAAATGAGGTATTTATATTAAATTTGCTGAAATCCTTAATCAAGTAAGAAGGCCACATGTAGTCGCACAGGCAGCCATTGGCAGAAAGTATAATTGCTTATTTTTATGGATATGAATATGTGGTTATGAATATATCAGTCGAAAAGATAGCCTGGGAATTCATAATTAAATGTAAGAAAATTCTACCCTGAGGCTAACATTGAAATTATTAAAATACCTTTCAAATTTTCCTTTTAATGCAAACGTCCTTCTGAAAAGACTGGTTTAAATATTTAACAGTCTTAACAATCTTAACCTCAGCCAAAACGTATTAAACTTTAAAAAAAAACAATGCACTTCCAGCTGTCCCCAAGAGCCTCACCCTCTGCTTCAGATCATATGAAGACTATGTAAGGCCTGTCTGCGGTCAAGTGTGGTTGGTTATAAATCTGGCTGGGAAGTTTGAGTGAGTCTATCTTTGAAGAAAACTTGATATTTAGTGAGCGCATGGTGTTGTGTTTTACAAATTTGCTACTTAAATCCAAACTGTTAAATGGGCCGAGGATAACAAAGAGAAACAGGAACAGGGTAAGTCATAGTCTAAGCTCTGCGGGGTGCAACCTTGGCCAGGCAGGATCATCCTCTGGACGCGTGCCCCTGTGTCCTAAGAGTCTCAATTACTTGGTCTCTGTTTGGCCCCAGGTATCAGGACCTTTGCAGGCTTTCTACAGCTTTCTAACATGCAGTCTGGGTTGAGACTACTGTCCCAGAATAAGACAGCACCCGGCCCCACCTCTCCAGAAGTTTGGAATCGTGTAATGAAGAGACTACATCTTAGAACTTCATAATTTAACCCTAGGCTGGAGGTCTCTCTTCATGTTCTTCCCCACAAATTTCTAACAATATTAATGTATGTACATATCACTTCATGGTTTACAAAATGCATTCACAGGCTTTATCTCACACAATGCTCTGATAAATTGATGCTACATCAATTACACATAGAAGACACCCAAGATGAACTTAACCAGACAATCTATCATTCACGATTCAAGCTTATTCGAGAGATGTGGTCAGAGGTTGGAAATGTTAAGCAATCTGCCTGAGATAATAACTCTACAAAAAAATGGAAGTCAGGTCATCTCAACTCAAGTATGTCTTGCTTCTCTTCTAACCTAAACAACTTTTGCAAAACCACATTGCACTTCTGACTTGGAGGGGAATGGAACCTTCCAGTAGCCTTGCTCCACCCGGGAAGGGGGAGCAGAGGAACTGGGTTGGACACATTGGAATTAAAGTCCCTAAACCATTCTGTTTTACAGGAAGCGCTGTGGCCCTTGTCCATAGAATAGATAATTCAGCAGTGCTCACACACACTCTGAGGATTCCACTGTAACATCACAAATCACTTTGCATTGCACCTGTTTATTTTTACATCTGGTTCACTTTACCGTGAGGTCTTTAGTCTCTGTCATTCACACAATCACTCAGCAAACATTTATCTGTGCCAAACATTAGACTAGACACTAAGGATGCACAGAATTATAAAAGAATTCAGGAATGAAATATATGATTGTGATAGAATGTAGTGAGTGTAACAATATACACATGCAAAAGTGGTAATGGTTGTGATCCTAGGAAAATACAGTTTGGATGTTATTAGCATCAATTTATTAATATTTGCCAAGCATGTGCTACTTTTACTTCTGAGGAAAAGTCGTCTCTACCTTTTCTTAGCTAAATAAATTGGACGAGGGCTCCATTTCTGTTAGCGTCGCTCTCTCACGGATACGGAACCCGTGATACCGTGTCCTACTGTGCTGTGTGAGGACTGTAAGAAAAAGCCCATAGAAAACAAGAAAGTACTTGACATGTTTTTAACGTTGTTAATTCATGAAGCAAAGGGAATCATTTTCATCATTTTTCTGACAACCAGATGATCTGTATCTAAACATGAGAGAAGTGTACTTTATTCACCACTGCAAGAAAATAAAACAAGGTCGAAGAAGTATTCTTAAGGTGGTGTATGTCCCTAGTGTCCTTGGCTACTGAACATGCCTGATCTGGTTTCTGCCTCACACACCGTGGTCCTAAACACAGTGAGAGTCACCTCCTAGTGGCATCGTGTTTGATTAGACTCCATTAATGTTCCTTAAGTAGCGTGACTTTCAATGACTGCTTCATAACTTAAGCAGCTAAATTTGTAATTGAGACATTGTGTAATTTATCTACAAACGCGAAATAATCCGAACATCTTTTTGAGGAGATGCTGATATGAAACCACTGATTCAATTGCTCTTGACCAATCTTGATTTGGGAATTCTTCTAGATGAAAGAAACACAGACCAGTTAAATATTTTCAGAGTCTCCACGCCCCAATCTAACAAAGTGTCTTTACTGTGGGACTAGATGACCTCTGAAATGTCAGGGACAACAGCCAACCAGCAAGAACTTTAATAGGCATAGAGATACAGGAAGCCACCCATATTGTTTACAACACACCCCAAAGCTTTTCACGCTCTATTTCCTTACCCAGCTTTATTTTACTTTATGGAATTTTCCACCAAGCTGAAAGCATGTTCCATCTCTATAACGGCATGTGATATTTATTTATTCTGCCTCTCAAGTAGGTGCCATGATAGGGACCTTGTCTCATTCACACTGTGGCCCCAACATCTAGGACAATGCCCTGTAAATACTGGAACCCAATAAACATTTATTGAATCAACAATAAAGTTGAACTGGTGTCCTAAATCAGGATTTAGAGGGTGGATTCAGAGGTTCACAGCTTTGGATATGATGGCCCATTTCTTGCCCACACCCAATGAATTGAAGGAAGAAAATCTTCGAACAAATTGATAAATTTGATTCAGTTTCACAGATAATGTCGTCCCTTAACTTTCTTGCATAGTATTTCTGTTCTTCACTTGTGCAAAACTCCCAGAGTTTCCTGGATTTCTCTACCATCACTAACAGAATTGTTTCTTTCCTTGCCATGAGCAAAGAAACCAGTGTGGGCTCTTTCTCTGCTGTTCTTGAGACTGTCGAAGTAAGATGAGGAAGGAGTGAAGCCTTCAGAGAGTCACAAATCTTCCCCTGCATTTTGCATTAATAAATTTAGTTACACATATAGATTAACGCTACCGTTTTCCAGGCAATGTTATACATTTTTGAGTATTTACTCCTAACAGACATTAAGAAAAATTTCAATATTATGAAGAACACTTGATGAATTTTAGACATTATATTCATTCTCAGAGCTGAAAAATAAATACATTTAATGCACCATTGGTTCACGGAGGATTTCTCTGAATGGTTCTGATGAAACTCCCCCTCTTCAGACTCCCGTGGCACTGATCTGGATGAATTCATGTGAATGTGTAAACGCAAATCTGGGCATTGCTATGTTCCAGCAGCACTAGAAGGGGGAAGAGAGACAAACATTAGGGTGGGAAAAATTCCAGTGAGAAGGATGGTGGAGACTGGGAAATCGCACCATAGAGATTTTGAAGAAAACACAAAATCTCAAAGGAGGAGGAGGCTTGAGATTGTGACTGTGAAGAGAAGAACTTTGAAAGGTTTAATCTTTTTCTTTCCCTCTGAATTGGAGAGCAGGATTTCCAGGGATGACCACCAACAATGTGACTGAAAAATAGTAAAACCTGAACAGGTTGGTGACTCAGGAACAGGTTGCTGACTCAGGAACAGGTTGCTGACTCAGGAACGGATTGGTGACTCAGGAACAGGTTGCTGACTCAGGAACAGGTTGCTGACTTAGGAACAGGTTGTTGACTTAGGAACAGGTTGGTGACTCAGGAAAAGATTGCTGACTCAGGAATGGGTTGCTGACTCAGGAAAAGGCTGGTGACTCAGGAATGGGTTGGTGACTCAGGAACGGATTGGTGACTCAGGAAAAGGCTGGTGACTCAGGAACAGGTTGCTGACTCAGGAACGGGTTGGTGACTCAGGAACAGGTGACTGACTCAGGAACGGGTTGGTAACTCAGGAACGGGTTGGTGACTCAGGAAAATGTTGGTGACTCAGAAACAGGTTGCTGACTCAGGAACGGGTTGGTGACTCAGGAATAGTGTAAGAGTTTCCACAGCATCCCTAGAGGATGAGATGTTGACTCAGGGTTGGCAGGGGCACCTCAACTATGGCCTGGGGGAGTGGCAGTTCTGCTAGATCCAGCAAGATCTTTGTCTATTGAGGACAAGGCACTCCAAACTATTTTTAAAAAGAGACATGCCCTTAAGGCTTCTAAAATTTCAAAAACATCAAAGAATTGTTTACTTTTCTCTTCTAGGGATCCTTCTTCAGATCCAGAAACATTAAATTAGACGGTACAAAACTCCATCAGAGAAACCCTATATGGCTCCAGTCACCAGCCAGCCCATCACTCATTTTGTAGTTTACATGTGAGTGTAGTCATTTTTCTGGCATTCCAACAATCTGGGAATCCATTCATTCAGAAAACATGTATTGGACATCCACATTTTGGAGCAGACAGTGTCAGCTTAGCCTGGTACTGCAAATATAAATAACAATTTGTTTCTAAACCAAAGAAATTCCCAGTCTAGAAAAGTGGCAGTTGTGCAAATTAAAAAGTGTGGATTACAGTGTAGGATCACTTACCCAAGCCAAGCCATGTCAACGAGGAGGAATAATAAGGGAAATTTTCAAAGATGAGATCAATGATTAAGGACAGCCTTAAAAGTTACTGTCCAGGAAACAACCCAAAGATCTGTCAACAAATAAGTGGATTAAAATTCCATAACATATCCATGCAATAGAATACTATTCAACAATAAAAAGGAGCAAATTACTGATATCTTCAACAACATAAATAAACCCAGAAGTAAATAGAGTCAGTGTAGAAGCTAGACACAAAAGAGCACCTTACTGTCTAATTGCATTTATATGAGATTTAGAAAATGCAAATACATCTTTACTCATGAAAATAAGACTGTGGTTGAAGGGGAAGGAAGATGGGTATGAGAAAACAATTTTGGGGTGATGAATATGTTAATTTTCTGGATGTATGGTGAATAAATATGTAGAAACTCATAAAGGTATATACTTTATGTTTGTGCCTTTGCTACAAATCAATGAAACTTTAAAAGGCAGGAAAATCATACCCAAAGAAATTGTAGCAAAAGTAGTAGAATTGTATCTTTGGAAGCAAGGAAGAAGAAATGTTCAAGAAAAGATGCTTTACAAAGTCGTATGCTCCAACAAGATTGTATGCTAAGAACATCCAATGCATTCCATTGGATTTTGTATTAAGAGGTCTTGAGGGTATTCATTAGGAAATCTGACTGACGTTTTAAAGTGAACAAACTTGATTTCAGTGTGTTGATACATTAGGGGATGATGAGAAAATAGAGACAATGGCAACTGGCCATTATTTAAAGAAATCTGGATTTTAAAAGTGAGGAATAAAATGCTAACTAGAAAGAATGTTGCATCACTAAGAAAGATGAAGGTGATTTTGTTGTTTCTGTACTGTTAGGGTGGGGCACCTGAATGCACCTATAAACTGTGGGCTGAATCCAGCAGACGTGGAAGAGACGAAAGGACAAAGCATGGAACACAGACAGCCGTGACTTCTGACAGATGTTAGTAATACAGGACGCCATGAGGCAGACATAGATATGATTGTCCTTTTGGAAGCACAAAATGAAAGAAAGATGAAGGGCCATCTCTTTCTTTTTTTTCAAAACCTCAGACCCAATTTCTGTTTATAGAAAAACTTGTACGTGTCTTTTGGATAAATGTAGTTTATAGGAAAAGATTCTTGTGTACGTGGAAACCATTATGAAGAAAGTCACTGATTTAAGAACAACATATGCGTGTTTACCTACCAACATTTCAATAGTAAATTCCATTTTAGCCCAAGATGTTGATGGGGAAAGGCAGTGTCTTAAAAGCTAAGGGTAGCTTGAAAGAGAAAAATGGAATCTCGTGATCCGACCAAGCAGGGTCCTCCAGCACTGCACAGATAGACGCACATCGGGGCCGATCCCACTGGAACAAAGCTCTGCCCACAACCCAGCTCAGTGACTGGCCTGGCATCAATCCCAACACCAAATTATTCTCAACCAAGAAGACTAGAGATCTCCAGTAGGAACTCCAATATGTGAGAGCTTTTTGAACCAAAGTCTTAAGTGTGTTAGCCAGTATTTTTCTCCATCCTTGTAGAGTTCCTTTCTTGAGAACCTTGCTCTGTTCATGCCAGAGCAGACCTGGCGGGGAGCTTGCACCTGCCACAGCATTTACTTGTATCTTCTGCACGCCTGAGGCAGCCTCGACATGGACCAGAAGGCTTGGAGGCTTTCCCGTCTTTCATTTGCCCTGGATCTCAGGAGACAGTACACTGAGGGGTGTCTGAGGGAGAGATAGAGGAGAGAAAGACAGTAAAAGAGAGGAAGAGAAGAAAGATTTTGTTACTGGTGCCTAAATAGCTTTTGGGGAAAAAATAGTTGCTATATAAGACATAATAAGGTATAGCACTGTTTTGAGAAGTTTTCTGTATTAACGTAATAAATCTTTGGTTGGAATGCTCACTCTAGGGGTTGCCAGGTAACCTTTTTATGTGTTCGTATAATTTATACCTCTTTGTATATAGAACTATTGAATATATCATTATTTGTGAAGCTGCTTAAATGTCCAGCTCAGCACATTGCATATATACAAACATAAGTGTTTAAAGAAATAAGTGATTTTATATATATATACACAGAGAGACATATGCATATTTATATGTGTCTGTGTGCTAGAAACATAGTGGTAAAGATCATACGTGGTTTAACTTCAGTTTTTCAGAAGTTAGCAGATAATACATGTTCAGTAACTTCTGAAAGACTTCAACATTCCTAAAACGTTCATTTGTAAATTCAAGTCACTTTCCCTTTCATATGCTATGTGAAAAATGAATAAATATTCTGAAGAGACAAAAGAAAAAAAGAACAAAAACAAGCAACATTTTTAAAAAGAGAAAGGTAAACAAAACTACTGTCAAAACACACCACTGTTTACAATCGCTAATCCTAAATGCTAATAGCTCTATTTCAATTTTCAGTACCATTGCACATTTGTGAGATTGAAGGTGTTCCATTTTATGCCCATATTTTATATTTTATCGTAATAACTGAAGACTAAATGTTTCGCTTACTTTGCAAAAATTTTCATACACTTTAAGAAATACTTTTAAAGCTAAATGCCACCCACAATTACTCTAGGTCTTCTTGAGGCCCTAAGAATTTCTGCATAAAATCTCATCAAAACTGTGATTTGCTTTGCATTTGTTGGCGTTTTTTCTGAAAGCAGCTGCCGAAGGTGCTACCTTTTGATGGTATGAGATGAATGTAAGGGTTGGAAAATGAAATCAACATTCTTCAATAAGGACCTGTTAGGGAGCCAAGTCCATAATTGAACAGGTATTGCACACTTTCACCGTGCGTCATAGCTAATAGTATCTTCAAAGCTTTGAATATCTAGAGAGAGTTTCTGTGGAGCTCATTGATCTCCAAGTAAACATATTTTAAAATGATTCGAAGTTAGAAATGCTTTAACTCTTTTCCTGATCCCACTCTTATTTTATAATTTTGCAAGGTATTTAAAAGTTATAAATATTGAAAAGGATCTTGGTGTCTGATATATAAATTATTTCTATTAAAATATTTTTCATGCCTTAAAGGAGAGTTAAAATACTGGATAATAAACTTTTTTTTTTTTAATTTCAAAAGTCATTCGAAACACATGAACACTTCCAATCCAACCTCAAATAACTTCAGAATCACGCAATGATTAATAGTGTTGCTTTACTCTCAACACCCTCCAGCAGTTCAGAACTCCTCAGTCAGGTTTCTTTGTGCCTTGCAGTTGTTGACAGGCCACAAGCTTCAATCACAGTATTGTGTAGTGATTTCTCATCATCCAGTACTTCTTTTAAGTCACCAATATAACTTTGAGTAGCCGGAAGCTGTATTAACAACAAAAGTTTACACGGAAATATTATTTATTTATGTATTTATGTATTTTTGCAGTCCAGGAGATTAAAGATGCAATTCAGGTGAACTGTTGCACAGTAACTCCATGTCAACAGCTGAACTCTGATCGGGGCAAGGGATATATAGGCAATGAAAGGTACGTAAACATCATGTTTCCTCTGCAGGCTGAGATGGATGCATTTTAAGGAGGTAAATTAATTCATATAAAATAGAAACACATAGGAATCATAAATGCAGAAGTACACAGGAAGAGGAGTAGCCTTGGTATTTCTAAACATAACCATCAACACAGAAAATTCTTATAAGGGAATAGTGATAGTTAAGAAAAATATTCAGAATATTTGAATATTTAAATATGCAGGGTTCCTGTTCCTGTCCATAGGTGTGTCGAGGATCCCAGTGGTAAGGAACACAGGCGGCTGGTCCTGTGCAGGGTTCCTGTTCCTGTCCATAGGTGTGTCGAGGATCCCAGTGGTAAGGAACACAGACGGCTGGTCCTGTGCAGGGTTTCTGTTCCCGTCCATAGGTGTGTTGAGGTGATGGGTCCTCTTTTTCTCATCATCAAATGCCCCGAGCCCCAGGTAAGTTTTCCACAGCGCAAGGTGGAGAGAGGGAAGGAGGAGGCCTGGTCCCCTGCACCGGCAGAGGCCTCTCTTCCTCCCGGGGCCTGGCCCTGGACCCTTGGCTCTGTCACTGAGAAGTGTCTAACACAACCTGTCACCCACACTCTCCCGCAGCGTCCCGAGTCAGCCACTCACAGCCATTATTCTCTCCACGTGAAACTGTGAAATGAGGACATAGAGGGGGTGGAACTAAAGAACCGGCTATTAACAGAATTACTTAAAAACCATTTCACTTTAATGTAAAAATTAATTTTGTTCAAAAAGGTAATCAATGCACATTAAACATTTAAAAGTATCAAAAGATGTACGATTATCCTCGACATTTGGGCACCCAGTTTACTTCCTCAAAGTCAAATATTGTTACTAATGTTTTATGTATTATTAAAGGGTTAATTTTAAATATAAAGAGTAATTAATGCTGTCAGAGGAATTATAAGGTTTTTTTTTTTTAAAGTACTCATTTGGAAGAAATGATTTTAATCTTTCAAAAGGAAACATACAATATTGATAAAATGATATATATTATAACATTAAATACATGGATATTCTATAAATATATATGTGAATTTATACATACATATCCTAAATGAGGATGAGAGTCTCCTCATCTAAGTCTAAATGAGAAAACATTCAAGAATTTTATTTGACCAAAAAGGATTTAATGATTAAATTATAGTGTAATGATTAAAGCACAGAAATTATGTGTGTTAAAACAAAATGGAAATGGAGACCAGGCCTGAAAAATACCTGAGCAAACAAAACCACTTAGGTTTTAAAGACACGGATTTTCTTTTCTTTTTTTTTATTATTATACTTTAAGTTCTAGGGTACATGTGCACAATGTGCAGGTTTGTTACATATGTATACATGTGCCATGTTGATGTGCTGCACCCATTAACTCGTCATTTACATTAGGTATGTCTCCTAATGCTATCCCTCCCTCCTCCCCCCTCCCCACAATAGGCCCCGGTGTGTGATGTTCCCCTTCCTGAAGACACAGATTTTCTTGTTAGTATAACTTCTCATTCATATCAATAATTCATAATTAAATAGATCCTTACATGTCCTCAGTCAATATGACTCAATCATATGAGTTCACTGTTGACATTTATGTGTTTCAAGAACATCATAATTATTGATGGAAAGAGACGACATAATTAGAAGGCAAGTAATTTTGACATAACTACTAAATCTGAAATTTTCTATTAATAGTTATGGGACCCAAATCTCAATGTCATACTCTCTCACATGAGAATGTTGGACTTAACGATTTACTGAGTTTTTTCTAAAGTCCTATGATTGATTGGAACACATTTCTAAAATGTAATCAAAAGGAATTATTTCACAAAAAATGCATAAGCCACGTTTAATATATTAGATCAGACTGATACATGCTAAGATTTGATCCAACTGATTGTTCGAAGATGCATTATTGAAATATTTTACAAAAAGTAGACCGCAGTGCCGTGCTGTTGCTTATTTATATTACAGGAAATACCACAGCTATGAATAAAAGTCACTATTCTGTCATAACTCATATATTTATTACAAGAGATGCAACGTTTATTTTCCTTAAACAGATAGACCTGAGAAGCAGCTCACGTCCAAAGAATCTTTTCTCCTTTCAGATAACAGCAGATCCCCGGCTGTCACCTATGCCCAAAAGCAACAGGCTTCTGTGGCTTGAAATCAGCTCCAAGAGTCCTCATTCTATAAAACTTAACTTCCCATCACAATGTCTGGGGAATTCTTCTTCATTTCGTTTGTTTTCCACAGAAAATTATTTTTATCTTGGAAAGCAAAACTTCCCATTAAGAACAAAATCATTTTTTCAAAAATAAAATAAGCAGTGCACAAAATTGTTATTTTATCCACAAAAATCTGAATGTCTGAATATTAACAAAATTGGAGAGCAGTATTAATTTATAAAACAAAAAGAAAACTTATACTCAATGAAGCAAAAATCGAAAAACAATAATAGTGATGATGTTCTAAGAGGTTGAAAACATGTCTGTAATTTCAAAAGCGCCTGTTTATAAGCCTAGGGACAAGTTGCACCGCCACTCATTCCCCACAAGAGACCCTCAAAATGTGGTTATAGACAGGCCCTTCCTGACAGTCCAGGAATTTTCTCCAGGGGTTAGTCACTGAGCTGCCCCTGGGGCAGCCCCCACTGCAGGAAGAAGACAGAGGAGCTTGTATCTGCTGCAGGCTCTCCTTGAACCACAGGGCCCCCACCTCCATCCCAGGACAACCTGGGGATATGGAACCCATGGAGTATCCTGGTACTGCTGAGCGAGGTGAGACACCGATGCACGTCTGTTTGGTCAAACCTATAAGGACAGGTTTGAAATGAGGAGGCAGATCTCCCAGACTGCATTGCACCTGACATGGAATTACACCCCACTGCCCATCCATACACAGCTAGTCGCACTCAACAGTGACAAGCTGACTGGGCCAGGCCACGTGGACATTTTCCCAAGACAAAAAGATTTCTTTTGAAAACACATATATCAATAGTCCTTCTTAAGTAAATCAGATGAGTATTTTAATACCTGTAATAGGATTTAGCAGCAGAAGACAAGACATGCTTTAATATTAACTAATGTTTTATAACATCACTGCTTTTCTATTAAATTTGAAAAACGTTGCATGTATACATATGGCTATACATTTCTTAAATACTGATTAATTTGTATTGCCATTATACTTTTAAGATTGCAGGCTATGTAAAAGTGCCAGTTTATTTCACATGAATGTGTGGTAAAGGCAAAAATGCATAGAATCACAGAAAAAAAATGATTTCATGAATTATTTTTTAAAAACTAAAGACATGCAAGTCTCTCAATAAAGTTTTGGGAAAATATATGCTTTCTAGGATTTTCTTTAATCTCTTGGGAAGTAATTGCTAACTAATAGGTAGATTTTAGGTGATTCCAAAGATATTCCAAGTTAAAATGTTGGGAAAAAGTCTGTCTGGGTCCATTCTCTGCTCAAAATAAATAATCTCACAGCACATGAATTGTTTTGAAAATGTGAATTAAGGGAAAAAAACAAAACAAAAAACAAAAACAAAGCTTCAGAAATCCTAATGCCATCCTGGGACTATGCGTAGAAATGTCACCCTCTTCAACTAGCAAATATGAGCAAAAACACAAGTAACCTGGAAAATAAAACACTGAAACTGGCTAAGGTGTTAAACAATGTTGCAAACTCAAAATATCCTCAAAAAATTTTGCAAACTCAAACTCAAAAAATTTCTGCATTCATCAAATGCAGAAATAATCAAATATTTATAAGAAATATTTATAAGAAACTAAAAATGTATTCCAACTATAAAATTGTGTTGTATAATATTTTTTAATGGCAAAAGAAACAATGCAGAGAATATGGGGCTTTTGTTGGTTTTGTTTTGTTTTGTTTTGTTGTTTTTGAAGATAGGGACTCTGCCATTCAAGCTGGAGTGTAGTGGTGTCATCCTGGCTAACTGCAGCGTCGATTTTCTGGGCTCAAGCGATCCTCCCACCTCTTCTTCCCCAGTATCTGGGACTACAGGTGCATACTACCACAACCTTGCTAATTTTTGCATTTTTTATAGAGATGGGGTCTCACCATGTTGCCCAGGCTGGTCTCAAACTCCTGGGCTCAAGACATCCTCCTGCCTCAGCCTCCCAAAGCTGGGAGTACAGGTGTGAACCATGGCCCTCAGTAAACGATGCAAACAATTTGATATTTTGGAGACTCTTGGAAAGCTTTAATGATATGACAAGAAATAGCCTTTTTTTTTTCCATGCCTTTCATCTCAACGGTCCTCATTTCAGAACGCTTCCTACATTTTATGAAGTGGTTTAAAGTTCCTGTCACTCTGCTAAGCCGGGCACAACGCATCACGGTGCCAGGCCCTGCCAAGCTTGTCGGTGGTGGAGCCTGTGTACTCCCCAACCCCCTGGCAGGCGGCCTGTCATACACACTGGGTGCTTCCTGAACACCTTGTGCCCCTTCCCCTGAGAGGCCCTTTAGGACACGGGTTCCCCTGGCAAGAATGTACTCTTCCTCCCCTCCTTTGCGCTGTTCATTTCTTCTCCTGGCTCCAAGCTCCATTAACATCATTCCACAAGTCGTGTTTCAATTTCCAAATGACAGTGGTCTCTCTGATATTTTCCTTTTCTTTCTTTCTTTCTTTTTTTTTTTTTTTTTTTTTTGAGACAGAGTCTCACTTTGTTGTCCAGGCTGGAGTGCAATAGCATGATCTCAGCTCACTGCAACCTCTGCCTCCGAGGCTCAAGCGATTATCTTGCCTCAGCCTCCCGAGTAGGAGTAGCTGGGATTACAGGCATCTGCCACCATGCCCAGCTAATTTTTGTATTTTTAGTAGAGACAGGGTTTCACCATGTTGGCCAGGTGGGTTTCGAACTCCTGACCTCAAGTGATCTGCCCGCCTCTGCCTCCCAGAGTGCTGGGATTAGAGATGTGAGCCACTGCGCCCAGCCCCTCCAGTATTTTCTTTTATAACAAAGGCTCTCGTGCCCATTTGGGGACAGGGAGTAAGATAAGAAGTCAAGAGCTGGCACTCAAATACTGTCTAAGCAATTATGCTGTTTCAGTTTACAACTATTCCAAGAGATAATAATGCTGGTCTTTATTATACAGCTAAGGAATCCACAGCTTTGACCCTTATGTCACACAAACTCGGGGGTCCCCAGAGTCTCCCCCAGGCCTCTGTGCCTTGCAGCCACATCCCCATCACATAGGTGTACACCCTTCACTGTGAACTCCCAATGCCTGCTGTGCTCTGAGGACACATTAACGACCTGAGGCTGTGGCCTTCTGGTACCTATAAAGTAGGTTTTGAAATTGTTCCAGCACAATGAGTCCTTCACATGCTAGACCAGTCCAGGTGACAGGTGCCCCAGCCTGGAACAGCATGCAGCAGCCTTTTGCTTCTACAAGAGAGACAAACAGACAACAGGGCATTGCTAGAGTGAATTCCAATTGCCTATCTCAGGTGTTGTAATGTGGTTCAAGAAAGGACCTGAAGAAACGAAGCCAAGATTGTCTTCCGTACTTCGAAAAACGGTATAAGCAGGGGAAGCTGGTGAGAGAGAATCTGAAAATAAATAGCTGTATGTATATTTACATCTGTATCTCTATCTGCCTGTACCTTCATCTCTATTTTATTTCCGTCTCTGTATCTGTGTCTATTAAATATCTGTGTCTCTATCTCTGTCCCTATCTGAACATCTGACTCGATTCTATAACTGTATCTACAGCTACCTGCATAGCTCTGTCTACAACTATATACCTACATATCCAAATCTATCTGCCTGATCTTCCCAAGAGAACCCTGGCTGCGCACCAGGCTCTGTGAGTCGCCCTGCACTGCCTCATCTCAGTGTCCCATTTGAGTTCTTAAGATTCATTAGGCCTTGCCTTACCTGAGACAGTAAGGAATTACGGCAGGAATTACGGCAGGAATTTACAGGAATTACGGCAAATTTTCCTGGGCAGAGCTTTCATTATTAGTTTTTGCAGATTGTCTGTGCCCTGGGGAAGTGCTCACATATTTATGGGGCTGTTGTTTTCTGTTTTTCTAATTAAACTCAATACAAATCTTTCCTCTGATATTCTCATGTGAAGCCTTAACCCAATGCTTAAGTTTAGCCTTGGAGGTAGTAATTCACCTATCCACTGATTCAAGATTCAACTAGTATTTATCAGACTCCTAGTGAGGTAGGAGGCAGAACTTGAATCTGAAAGCAGGGCCTGGACTCCGGACCAGATTGAAAGCTGCCAGAAACAGGGAAGAGGCAAAGGCACCTCTCCATAGGACACCCCACCGGTGCCATCTCGGTTTGCTGTTGCCATGGCGACACCTGCAAATTGCTGCCCCGTTCCAGGGCAACACCTGAAAGTTACCACCCTTTGTCTAGAAATTTCTGCATAATTCACCCCTTAATTTGCATGTAATTGACAGTTTGAATGTTGGGAAAAGTATTTCTGGGTCCATTCTCTGCTCAAAATAAGTAGTCTCAGAGTACATCAATTGTTTTGAAAATATGAATCAAGAGCAAATAAACATTTTAATGTAAAGCATCAGAAATCCTAATGCCGCCCTGGGACCACGCATTCAGATATTGCCCTCTTCAGTGAAGTCACATGAAATATGAGCAAAAGCACAAATATGAGTGCACATGCCTCTGAGCGCAGCACTGCCTCTGAGCTGCCCCTCGGCACACGGCCTGTGGGGTCACCTTGCTCTGCAAGGAGCAGGACCTCTGCCGCTGTCGTGCACTGTCACTTCAATAAAAGTTGTTACCAACACCACTAGCTGACCCTTGAGTTCTTTCCTGGATGAAGCCAAGAACCCTCCCAGCTGATCCCCGATTTTGGGCTTGCCTGCCCAGTGTCACGAGCACACACCAGGCATTGCTTCATGCACCTCTACTGGCTGCAGCTATCCTGACAGCTCTGGGGCTCACTTTTCTCCCCATCTGATAGATAATTCCTCTAGGGATGTACCTGCTGCTGGGTGTCACCTCAGGGATGTGTGCAGCACCTGTTACCTCTGGACTCGCTTTATGGTGATATAAAATCCTGTTCAGTGACATGTGGCTGGTGTTATTCACTTTGGAATTCTTTGAGGGAGCATTCCTTTGCTGATGAGTATATAATTGCCTTCATTTTCTTCTAATTTCACTGAAATATAGTCTTGCTTCTTCTGAAACCAACTCACTACCTGTTCCTTTTATTTCTATAATTCACTTTTTAAAAATTTCCTACTGTCTTTTTTTTGTTCAAATGGACTCTTCACATTTTTATTCTCACAGCAGACTTAATTCATTTTCACTTAAAATATGCATTACAGTCATGGTTCTCCAAAGACATTTTGAAATATTCCCATATTAGAATATGATATTAGAATAAGATATTCAATAGATCTTGTCCATATTAACAAGCAAAGAAAAGTTTTATGATTTGAAATCCACATTGGTATTTTCCATTGAATTATGAATAATCTTATCAACACAGCATCTTATTACATGACTTTGAAATAATTTAGGTCAAGATAGGAAGAAGAAAAGCTAATATATATTGATTGCTTCTAAATCCATATGTGGTCTCATATAATCCTCCCACGCAGTTCTCTCAGTCCCTTAAGAACCATTAACCTCACTTTGCAAATGAAGAGACAGGTTCAGTGTTGGCATTTGGCATGGCTATGCTTTGGATGTGAGTAAGCAACAGAGGTATAATTATAGCCCCACTGTCTTTCCACATCCCACACTCCATCCTTCTATCCTTCTTGTGCAATATAAAAATTAAGCCAGGAAAAAAAATGGTCAGAAGTATCAGTAGTTTGCATTCACCAGGATTTTAAAGATAGTTTATTATGCATTTTATTACGCATGTGTTTCAGACACTGATACACATATAGCAGAGAATTTATAAATATCATTGAAAGTATGAGGCTGTGGGGAGTGAGCAGCTTTACCACCAAATTAATGATCTCTTGGGCTAGAATATAGGGGTTTCTATTTAATGAGATATTATTTAGTAAGTTTAAATATGTTTTTAAAAGGCCAATAAGAACAGCCCAAGATCTGGAGACCAAGTTAGATGGAGAACAGAGTCAAAATATCTAGTTTTCAAATATGAATAGTGTGAATCAAAAATGCATTAATGATATGCTAATGCTACCTTAGACAGTATTTATAAAAATGAAAGATGATCTCATTTTATCTGAGCAAAATTAGATATGAAGAAACTGCCACGTGTTTAGAGAAAAACGTTTAGAATGAGATAAAATGAAAATTGTACGCCTCCTTCTTCCTGAAGTAACTGTTTTTGGTCTCGATTTTCAGTTTACTTTTATGCAGATGCATGCTTTTAAGTATAATGTGCCTCACCTCTAATGTTTGATTTATTGATTGTAAAATATCTATTGTCTCTGTAAAAGACAAAGAATTTACCCAACTTAATCCACCCACTTTTCTCCTGATAGATGTACAAATAATTGCATTGTTAGATATTTTACTGATGACATAGATAGCTTGATGGGCCTGTCTTAACCTCCATTTCTTGTTTCATCTGTAGTCTCCTCACTATATTAGATAAGAAAATGTGTGATTCACACCCAGTCTTCCCTTCCTTCCCTCTGCTTACTCCCCCTGCTGTATTTCAACCCTTACCATTCTTCTTACATTTCTATATTTTTAAACATGTAAATTCGTTTGCACAAGCACAAGAAAAGTAGCCCTCTTCTATCAGTTTACCCCTGAGTGCATCTCTTATATTAATAAGTTGCCAAGAGATAGTAATAGAAGACAACACTGAGTCTGTTTTGCATCATTTTCACTAGCTACAAGTTCAGTAAATATCGGGTCTTTCTTCCGTGTGACTGGAGATAAAACTTTTTCCAAATTTTTTACCCTCGTGTAATGCAGGTCTCTGATTTGCAGAGAATAGTATCTATTTTCTCGCTCCTAGTGATGCACTGATTATGTTTTTGATATAGTAGGTAGCACCCTACTTCTTTTCATATAATGACTGAATTAGACTGGTTCGGGGCTGGTCTAACACAGAGAACCAGGTACATAGATGTAGGATGTGTAACCTTTCAAATGGGGACCTCTGATGGAGGCAAGAGTGGATATGCCATTGTTGAAATGATTAGAGGGGATAATGTCACTGAAAACATTTTATGAATGAAGGGGAGAAGAATCAGAAGAGACGGAGAAGGAGCATGCAGAGAAGGAAGATAACTGGAAAGCTCACCAGTAAAGAAAAGCAGTAGCAATATTCGAAAATAATGGAGTCTCTGTATGTTACATTTGCAGAAAAGAGGTGGAGTAAGGTAAGTTCTGAAAAATAACCATAGAAGTTAGAGAATAGCATGACACTGAGATGATTCTATTAGGGAGAAACATGAACATGTTTTTAAAATTGAGACGGAGGCAATACATTGGGACATCTAAGTAATCAGAAGGAGAGAGAATGTCACACACACACACACAAACAAATGGAAATACAATGGAAGCCAGTGGGGAGTTGTTGCAAGGTTTTAAATAGGGCTATGCCTTGGTCTAATTTCATTTCTCAAGGACCACTCAGGATTTAATGCAGAGAAAGGATTGTAGGATGCACAAAAGTTTAATAAAGTTAAACAATTAGAGATTCTTACATTATTCTGATGAAGACAAGCTGATGGCTTGAATCAGGATCTGGTGTTGGAACTGGCGAAAATGGAGCCATATAGTACTTGTTAACGGATTAGATGCTGAGGCCAAAAAGCAAAGATATAGCTTAGACAACTCCTAGATTTTAGAACTGACAGACTAGTTACGATGCCATCAATGGGAAGAATCAATGATGCGCATGTTTTACTTTACTGCGCATGTTTTACTTTACTATAAGGTGTAGCAGAGGAGACGTGTGGTGATATAGTTAAGACATTTGTCTCCACCGGAATCTCGTGTTGAATTGTAATCCCCAAAGCTGTGAGTGGGTCCTGGCGGGAGGTGGTTGGGTCATGAGGGTGGATTCTTTATGGTTGTTTTCGCAATAGTGAGTTATCGTGAGATGTAGTCATATAAACCTGCACGGCACCTCCCCTTCAGCTAACACACTCTCTCCCCTCCTCTCTCTCTCTCTCTCTCTCTCTCTCTCTCTCTCTCTCTCTCTCTCTCGGTCCTGCTTTTGCCAGGTGATGTGCCTGCTCCCCCTTCACCTTCTGCCATGATTGACACTTCCTGAGGCCTCCCTGTAGGCTGAGCAGATGTTGGGACAACGCTTCCTGTAAAGCCTGCAGACTGATGAGCCAATTAAACCTCTTTTCTTTATAAATTATCCAGGCTTAGGCACTTCTTTCTTTCTTTCTTTTCTTTTCTTTTCTTTCTTTTTTTTTTTTTTTTTTCAGATGGAGTCTTACTCTGTCACCCAGGCTGGTGTGCAGTGGCACAATCTTGGCTCACTGCAATGTCTACCTTCTGGATTCAAAAGATTCACCTGCCTCTGCCTCCCAAGTAGCTGGGATTACAGGCACACAACCCCACGCCTGGCTAATTTTTGTACTTTTTAGTAGAGATGGAGTTTTGCCATGTTGGTCAGGCTGATCTCGAACTCCTGATCTCAGGTGATCCGCCCACCTGGGCCTCCCAAAGTGCTGGGATTAGAGGCGTGAGCCACCCTGCCCAGCCTCAGGTTTTTCTTATAGCAATGCAAAAACAACCTAATACAAAAAATTGGTACCAAAGAGTGGGGCATTGCTATAAAGATACCTGAAAATGTGGAAGTTACTTTGGAACTGGGTAACAGGCAGAGGCTGGAAGAGTTTGAAAGGTTAAGAAGAGAGGAAGATGAAGGAAAGTTTGCCACATCCTAGAGACTGGTTAAGTATTTATGACCAAAATGCTGATGGTGATATGGACAGCGCAGTTCAGGCTAATGGCGTCTCAGGTGGAAATGAGGAACTTACTGGAAACTGGAGCAAAGGTCATGCATGTTATGCTTTACCAAAAAACTCAGCTGTGTTGTGTCTGTGTCCTTGGGATCTGTGGAACTTTGAACTAGGTAGTGATGACTTAGGGTATCTGGTGGAATAAATTTCTAAGCAGCAAAGCATTCAAAACGTGATCTGGCTTCTTACAACTTACACTCAGATGCAAGAGCAAATAAGTGACAACATTGGAAACTATATTTAAAAGGGAAGCAGAGTATAAAGGTTTGGAAAATTCGCAGTCTGGCCATGTGGCAGAGAAAGAAAAAGCTTTTTAGGGAGAGGAATTCAAGCTGGCTGTGGAGCCACCGCTTGCATTAGAAATTTGCATAACTAAAAGGAAGCCAATTGCTAATATCCAAGACAAGAGGGAAAAGTCCTTGAAGGCATTTCAGAGATCTTCGTGGCAGCCCCTCCCATCAGGGTTCCAGAGGCCTAAGAGGAGAGAATGGTTTTGTGGGCCAGGCCCAGGACCCTGCTGCCCAGTGCAGCCTGAGGACACTGCTTCCCACATCCTGATTGCTCCAGCTTTAGCTGAGGTTCAAGGGGGCTCAGGTGCAGCTCAGGCTGCCACATTGTAGAATGCATGGTTACTTCCATGTGGTGTTAAGCCCGTAGGTATGCAGAATGCAAGAAAGAAGAATGCTTGGCAGTCTTCACCTAGATTTCAGGGGAGGTATGAGAAAGCCTGGGTGCCCAAGCAAAAGCGTGCTGCAGACGCAGAACCCTCACAGACATCCTCTGCTAGGGCAATGCCAAGGTGAAGTGTTGGGTTGAAGCCTCCATACGGAGTCCCCACTGGGAGCTCTAAGACCTGGAGATGCATGTTTCCAGTTCCATACGTGGTTCTGGTTGACTGAAGGTCAATGAGAAACCTGAGAACATGGGAAGCCTTTTATTGAAATGCCCTTTCTTATGCAACATTTCTTTATGATTATGAAGGAAGCTAGTATGGATAAAAAGATTATCTACAATTAGGACTCATTTTAAGTAAGTATTATATAGATTATATATGCACTTTCCACCTGATATTTCCTTTATTGATTCATTAATTCTTTTACTTGTCCAACCTTATTGATTACCTTCTCTGGGTCACAGACTTTTTTATATGCTGGGAATATAAAGGAGGAAAAGATAAAGTTAATGCCTTCACGAGCTTATATCCACCTGTGGAAACACAAATTCTTAAGAAATTGAAAAGTATGACAAAGTAATATATACCGGCAGGAGAGAGTAGTGTTCTCAGATTATTAATAGGACCCATTTTGTTTTGTGGAATCAACTTACTGGGTCACAACCAGCTGTTGTTGTTATAAAGAAATGGCAGAAGAGATTAGAAGGAGATAGGATCAAACATTTTGTGAACATAATATATCAAAGTATATGTGTAGTAGGTATTTTTGCAAAATACTTTTCCTCCAAATATATACACTCGTATACATATTTCAACCACACCACTCTGGCATTTACATGTGTGTGTTTGTTTGCTTATGATGTAAAAGTGTGGAATGACGCTGGGGTACCATGATTAAGTTGTGGCAGAAGTGATGATGGCAGACCAGGAAGAACTTCCTCCAGGTCAGTGACGAGCTTTCTGAAGAGATAACCTTTGAACTAAGACCTAAATTATGAAAATGGCCTAAATTTATAGATATTTGGAGAGTGGACTCCAGACATAGGGAACAATAGGTGCAAAGACTTGTAGGCTAACATAAGCTTGATGTGTGTAAGGAACAGAAACGACAACAGAATGGCTGGGAAAATGAGACTCTAGAAGAGTAACCAGAGGTAGCAAACGAATCTACCTTAGGCCCTTCTGGGTGCTGGGATCCCTGTCTTTGTTCCCGTTGATTCTCCTGGGTTCGTGACCTGTGCTGTTGTTCACTCTGACCTTGTCAGTGCTCAGTGCCCCACATGGTAGATGAATGTTCTCTCCACCAAATGACCTCTCATGAGAACAAGTGGGGTTTGGATACACAAAGGGTTCCTGGATTGATCACTGACGTTTCATCCTGGGGAGAGCCATCCATACAGACATTTCCTTGTCCTCTTGGGTTTAATTGTCTTCCTCTGTGCAGTGTAGGTAGACATTGTGGAACTTACTCATTACTCTACACACTGACTAAGACAGCATCAGAAACCGAGGAGCCCAGAAAAAACAGATGAATAGAGTTCAGTCGATTGACCTTATTTAAAGCAAAGAATTAATACCCGCGTTTTCAGAGTTTTCCATTCAGTTATCGATGTTCTTCAGTATGTCTTACTGTCACTCTGTCGCAGATCTAATCTAATCTATTGGTTTGGAAAGTAGAACTTTGTATAAGTGATACTCTAATGCTTCCTAGTACACTAGTTAATTGCAAACATACTGAGGACATTGTGGGAATAGAGTTGGCCAAATCTCTCTAGTTTCTGGATTATGTAGCTAAGGTGTCCATATCTATACCTGTATCTGTCTATCTGTCTCCATTTACCTATCTATCTTTAATCAAATTGGCTTGTTTTTTTGACTGAGAAAAAGGAGTAATTCGACTCTTTCATTTTAATTAAATTTAAGAATGTATTTAACATATTTTCTTTTTCTTTTTTTTTGAGACAGAGTCTCGCTCAGGCTGGAGTACAGTGGCGCTCTCTCAGCTCACTTCAAACTCTGCCTCCGGGGTTCAAATGATTCTTCTGCCTCAGCCTCCCTAGTAACTGGGATTACAGGCGTGTGCCACAATGCCCGGCTAATTTGTGTATTTTTAGGAGAAATGGGGTTTCACCATTTAGCCAGGCTGGTCTCTAACTCCTGACCTCGAGATCCGCCCACCTTAGGCTCCCAAAGTGCTGGGATTACAGGCATGAGCCACAGCGCCCGGCCCATATTTTCTAAAGAAAAATAAGTGGCCATGGCCTAAAACTGTCTACTTTTAACAAAGCACATAATAAAAATTAATAGTAATTATACTAAATCCTAATGATTCCCAAGGGAAAAAAATCATTCTAACAGAAGCTTCATCAGTCCTCATTTTGCAAAAGCTTCTGAACAGCAATTGTACACAAATATACCAGACTGAAATGGAAGAACTCTATCTCTTAATATAACGTGCCCCCTATTAATTCTCAGAGCAGTCATTCAAAGATTTACTGCAAAGGAATTTAGCTAGAACTGATGTAGAAAAATAAGTCGAACACAGGACATTTCTATGACCTTCTGTGTCCAGGTCATGTGGTAATTTTTCTACGTGATGAAGTCAAAGTGGGACCGCA